TCTCTGATCTTAGTTATTTCTTGTGTTCTGCCAGCTTTCAAATTTGTTTGCTCTTGCTTCTCTAGTTCATTTAATTGTGATGTTAGGGTGTTGATTTTAGATCTTTCCCTCCTTCTGATGTGGACATTTAATGCTACAAATTCCCCTCTAAACACTGCTTTACTATACCAGAGATTCTAGTACATTATGTCTTTGTTCTCATTGGTTTCAAAGAACTTGTTTCTTAATTTTGTTATTTACCCAGTAGTCATTCAGGAGCAGGTTGTTCCGTTTTCATGTTGTTGTGTGGTTTTGAGTGCGTTTCTTAATCCTGAGTTCTAATTTGATTGCACTGCGGTCTGAGAGACTGTTATGATTTCTGTTCTCTTTCATTTGCTGTGGAGTATTTTACTGCCAATTATGTGGTCAATTTTATAAGTACGATGTGGTGCTGAGAATAATGTATATTCTGTTGATTTGGGGTGGAGACTTCTGTAGATGTCTATTAGGTCTGCTTGGTCCAGAGCTGAGTTCAAGTCCTGACTATCCTTGTTAATTTTCTGTCTTGTTGATCTGTCTAATACTGACAGTCGGGTGTTAAAGTCTCCCACTATTATTGTGTGAGAGTCTAAGTCTCTTTGTAGGTCTCTAAGGACTTGCTTTATGAATCTGGATGCTCCTGTTTTGGGTGCATATATATTTATGATAGTTAGCTCTTGTTACATTGATGCCTTTTATGTAATGCCCTTCTTTGTCTTTTTTGATCTTTGATGGTTTAAAGTCTGTTTTATCAGAGACTAGCATTGCAACCCCTGCTTTTTTTTGCTTTCCATTTGCTTGGTAAATGTTCCTCCATCCCTTTATTTTGAGTCTGTGTATGTCTTTGCATGAGAATTGGGGCTCCTGAATACAGCACACTGATGGGTCTTGACTTTATCCAATCTGTCAGTCTGTGTCTTTTAATTGGGGCATTTGGTCCATTTACATTTAAGGTTAATATTATTATGTATGAATTTGATTCTGTCATTATGATGGTAGCTGGTTATTTTGCCTGTTAGTCGATGCAGTTTCTTCATAGTGTCAATGGTTTTTATGATTTGGTATGTTTTGCAGTGGCTGGTCCTGATACTTCCTTTCCATATTTAATCCTTTCTTTGGGATCTCTTGTAAGGGAAGCCTGGTAGTGACAGAATCTCTCAGGATTTGCTTGTCCATAAAGGATTTTATTTTTCCTTCGCTTATAAAGCTTAGTTTGGCTGGATATGAAATTCTGGGTTGAAAATTATTTAAGAACTTTAAGAGAGTTGAACATTGTCCCCCCACTCTTTTCTGACTTGTGGGGCTTCTGCAGAGAGATCCACTGTTAGTCTGATGGGCTTCCCTTTGTGGGTAACCTGACATTTCTCTCTGACTGCCCTTAACATTTTTTCCTTCATTTCAGCCTTGATGAATCTGAGGATTATATATCTTGGCATTGCTCTTCTCAAGGAGTGTCTTTGTGTTGTTCTTTGTATTTCCTGAAGTTGAATGTTGGCCTGTCTTGCTAGGTTGGGTAAGTTCATATGCTTATGAAGTAAGTACTCATGCTGTGCTTTTCAGCTCCATCAGGTCATTTATGTCCTTCTCTAAACTGGTTATTCTAGTTAGCAATTCCTCTAACCTTTTTTCAAGGTTCCTTGCATTGGGACCTTCTTAGCTTCCTTGCATTGGGTTAGAACATGCCCATTTAGCTCAGAGGAGTTTGTTATTACCCACATTCTGAAGCCTACTTCTGCTAATTCATCAAAGTCGTTGTCTATTCAGTTTAGTTCCCTTGCTGGTGAGAAGTTGTGATCCTTTGGAGAAGAAGAGGTGTTCTGGTTTTGGCATTTTCAGCTTTTTTTGTGCTGGTTTTTCCTCATCTTTGTGGATTTATGTACCTTTCGGCTTTGATGTTGGTGACCTTTGGATGGGGTTTCTGTGTGGACTTTTTTTTGTTGTTGATTTTGATGCTATTTCTTCCTGTTTGTTAGTTTTCTTTTTTACAGTCAGGACCCTCTGCTGCAGGTCTGATGGAGTTTGCTGGAGGTCCACTCCAGGCCCTGTTTGCCTGGGTATCAGCAGTGGAGGCTGCCAAACAGCAAAGATTGCTGACTGTTCCTTTCTCTCAAAGCTTTGTTCCAGAGGGGCACCCGCCAGATGCCCATGGAGCTCTCCTGCTGGAAGCTTTCTCCCAGTCAGGAGGCACAGGGGTCAGGGACCCACTTAAGGAGGCAGTCTGTCCCTTAGCAGAGTTCAAGCGCTATGCTGGGAGATCTGCTGCTCTCTTCAGAGCCGGCAGGCAGGAATGTTTAAGTGTGCTGAAGTTGACCCCACAGCCACTCCTTCCCCCAGGTGCTCTGTCCAAGGGAGATGGGAGTTTTATCTATAAGCCCCTGACTAGGGCTGCTACCTTTCTTTCAGAGATGCCCTGCCCAGAGAGGAGGAATCTAGAGAGGCAGTCTGGCTACAATGGCTTTGTGGAGCTGTGGTGGGCTCTGCCCCGTAGGAACTTTCCAGCAACTTTGTTTACACTGTGATGGGAAAACTGTCTACTCAAGCCTCAGTAATGGCAGATGCCCCTCCTTCCACCAAGCTTGAGTGTCCCAGGTTGACTTCAGACTGCTGTGATGCCAGCAAGAATTTCAAGCCAGTGGATCTTAGCTTGCTGGGCTAAGCTAAGATCCAAATGGGGGTGGCATTTGCTGAGCTAGACAACTTGGCTCCCTCGCTTCAGCCCCTTTCCAGGGGAGTGAACGGTTCTGTCTTACTGGTGTTCCAGATGCCACTGGGGTATGAAAAAAGACTCCTGCAACTAGCTTGATGTCTGCCCTAACTGCTGCCTAGTTTTGTCCCTGAAACCTAGGGCCCTGTTGACATAGGCACCCAAGGGAATCTCCTAGTCTGAGGGTTTCAAAGACCGTGGGAAAAGTGTAGTAACTGGGCTGGAATGTACTGTTCCTCATGGCACAGTCCCTCACGGCTTCCTTTGGCTAGAGGAAGGAGTTCCTGGACTACTTGCACTTCTCAGGTAAGGCAACACCCCACCCTGCTTCAGCTTGCCCTCCATGGGCTGCACCCACTGTCTAACCAGTCCTAGTGAGATGAGCCAGGTACCTCAGTTGGAAATGCAGAAATTTCCCACCTTCTGCGTTGATCTCGCTGGGAACTGCAGAGCAGAGCTGTCCTATTCAGTCATCTTGCCAGCCTTCTCAGTATGATATTTTAAAAGCCCTTTGGATCTGATGAACTTGAACACTTTATCTTAATATTAAACATTGTCTCTGTTCTCTATTTTTGTTAGAAATGACCTGACATTATATACAAAGGGTATTTGAAAAACGACACTTAGAGTTCCTCCTGTCTTTATAACACATTTATGACCTTTCCCTAAAAGTGCTATTTATGGTAAATTGACATGTATTTCTTTATTATGTGGCTGGAAAGACACATTTACTTTTTATAGTACGTGATTGGACTTGTAATTGATACAATGGGAAAAAGTAGCTTAAGAATACCCTGGATGGTAGGTTTGGGAAAGATAATTTGTGGAAATCTTAAAAAGAAATCCCAAAGTGTATTCTCTGGCAGAGTTTGGAAAGCTTTTTCTGTTAAAACACCAGTTGGTAATATTGTAGACTTTAAGAAACTGCTTATGTTTCAGTCACATAATCTTTGATTTTTAAAAAACTCTTTAAAATATATAAAAAATCCATTCTTAGCTCAAGGACAGTATAAAAAGCCACTGAGCTATGCTCTCTAGAGGCTGAAAAAGCTAGTCTGCCATATTCACAAAGATTTAGCCTCTTAGTTCATGTAATAAGTGTTCGACATGTCATTTGCTCTTTGAGTCTTCCAATTGGCAGGTCTAGCACTAGGTATGATGCTCCATCTTGAGAAATTACCTTCACCCAGGTTACTGAATGCAGCAGTTTGAAGGACTACAAAATAGAATATTAAAAAGGGATTTATAAATCTAAACCCATTTAATAGGTGTGCAATCAGGACACCGTGTAAACAGAAATGCATAAACTCAGTTGACTGGCCAAAGTGTCTGCAAGCATAGAAGCTTGCTTATACTTTGCTAAGGTAGTCCAGCTTAGATTCACCAGTATGTAGCTGGCTATGGGAGAGTTGACACAGCTGGGAGAGAGGACGAAAAGGCCATTCCAGGGTGACTAGGTAGAAAGTGTTTTAACTATTTGCCCTGACAGTATCTTTATCATTTGCAGGTATAACAATATATGGTTACAAATAAATATATACAAGCAAACTTTTATATATGATCATTTTCTTAGGGTATCTCAAGAAACATAATGGGCAAGTTGGACAAAGAGATTCTCCAATTTGAGAAGGAAAATCTCAAGAATGAAATAGTAATGAGGGATAAATCCTAGTCAACTGTGATCAACTGGACTATATCCCTCAAACTTTAAACTCCAGTGCCATTACCCACCCCGGGAAGGATCTTCCAAATCTTTTTGGATAAAACATTATTTTGCCTATCTCTTTGAGGCATCACTTGATTTTAGAGACATAGAATATTGCACTTTTTACTGACATTTAGAATAATTAAAAATTGATAGATTTTTAAAATACATATGACAAACTGCTTTATTGAGTGATTAAGCAAAAATGTAAACATTGAGAAATGTATGTTAATGTTTTCTCTTGGTTTCAGGTTCTGGGCATCCAAGTGAAATGCTTCCATGAAATTATCACTATAGGTTATAGAGTCTATCATTCTTATGATCTACCATGGTTTAGAACACTAAGTTGGTAAGTAAGCTTGAAACTATTTCAGATATGAAAAGTTGATTTCTAAAGTTTGTAAAGGAAGCATCTTGATCTGTCAGTATCCATTCAGTTTACCCAACAGATTGATTCTGGAGAAAGATAAATAAAAATAATGTAATTGAAATTTGAAAAGAAGATCACCTTTTTCTTTCCCATTCCAATAGGACTTTTTTCAGATCTTGTATTTTAGTCTTTTTAGAGATATCTAATATATGTTTAATATATACACCATTCTTGTCCTTTTTTTAAAAAATAAAAAACTAAACATTGGACACATTTTTATATTCTTTACAATAATAACTTTAGCAAAATATTTACATATCTTTTCCTTCATTTCCCCTCATTTGACGTGAGAACATACAAAATATTGTATATATACAAATTCATGTGAAGTTAATAACAAAATCACCAAATGATTTTAACATTTAAAATTTTACGTCTTTTAAAACTTTTCATTATAAATCACTGCTATCAAAACCTTGACTAGGAAACGTGATAATGTTATAGTTCATATTTAACCCAAGTGGCCATGCTTTTTAATATAGTTGATTAATATCAACCAGGGAGTCAGTGTCTTATTAAATAGATGGGGTTTAGAATAGTCAAAGGAAGTGTCTTGATTTTGGTGTTAGCTGACTTTTCCTTCTAGCAGGTTTCTTCATCAGTGGCAAAGTATACAGGAAATGTCAGATAGGTAAAGTAATTGGAGAATAATTAAATGCAAAACGATGCTGTATTAATTCTAATTATTTAAAAAAGGAGAAGATAAATCAGGATGGGCTCTAGTGATTATAGAAGGTGTCAGAAGAGGTAAAAGATAAACTGGTATTTGAAATGAAGACAAATTTTAGATGAAGAGATTTCTGGTTGGGGAGATAGTACCCATCAGTTTCTACATGTGAGACAGACGCACTGTATACTCCAGTTGATGAGACATTCCTGGCCCTCCTGAGCCGAGGGTATTGATCAGTGAACAGTGGGTACATAGTTGGATTGGTGGACCAGGTTAGGCCTTGATTGCCTTACAGAGGAAGAATCCCTGCTCATCTGGAGTCCATGGGGAGCATTAGAAAAGGCAAAAAGATGCCATTGTGTGTAGGGCAGTAGGGAGAGAGGTTGAATTACCTCTTCTTTCTTTCCCTCTTAATCTTCCTGAGGGCAGGTGGAGATTTGTCTTAGGACTTCTACTATTAAAAAAGCATTAGAACTGTGAGTAGTTAAGAGTTAATTTTCCTTTTTTTTTTTTTTTTTTGAGACAGAGTTTTGCTCTTGTTACCCAGGCTGGAGTGCAATGGCACAATCTCAGCTCACTGCAACCTCCGCTTCCCAGGTTCAGGAGATTCTCCTGCCTCAGCCTCCCAAGTAGCTGGGATTACAGGCTCACGCCACCACGCCTAACTAATTTTGTATATTTAGTGGAAATGGGGTTTCTCCATGTTGATCAGGCTGGTCTCGAGCTCCCGACCTCAGGTGATCTGGCTGCCTTGGCCTCCCAAAGTGCTGGGATTACAGGCGTGAGCCACTGCGACTGGTGGAGTTAATTTTCATTATGAGCTTAATACCTCAGTATATACACACACAGATTATACATACATACAAAGTATTAAAATCATACATCACACACATACACACATTATACATACACACAAAGTATTAAATTCATACACACACACACACACACACACACACACACACACACACCCCACCCCCACCTCCCAAGGGTGAGGGATTGTGTGTGTGTAGTATTTTCTACATCGTCTCCTAATTATATCTGGCATTAGATTTTCAGCTAAAGGTATGAACTATATTTGGTAAATTTTTGTTAATCAATACATTTGAAATTAAGTTTGAAACAGGAGAATAGCATTTTGGTAAAATATATCTTGAATTGGTCTTCTGAACTTGGTATTGATCATTATGTCATCAGAATGTAGAAAATAATTCTGTTGAGTTTGAGGGGAAGGAAAGCTTCAAATATAGAAAAGCTAATTGTTTTTAAATTATAGGTACTTTCTATTGTGTGTAAACTACTTTTTCTATGGAGAGACTGTAGCTGATTATTTTGCTACATTTGTTCAAAGAGAAGAACAACTTCAGTTCCTCATTCGCTACCATAGATTTATATCATTTGCCCTCTATCTGGCAGGTAAGTTAAGGAATATTCTGTATTGATATGTAGCTAACACATTTTCCATGTTTATTTTTATTTATATTATTTAAATCCATAACTTTTTTGCTAAATTTTATTCTAGCCTCTCTTTTTCATTGTTTCTCATGTATAAACGTATTTCTTTCCTCATGTTCTTAAATAGCAATTATCCCTTGTGGTGGGTTTAAAAAGTGCTTATTAAGAATCACTCCATGTGTTTGAACATTTTCTTTGCAAATTGCAGTAAAAAAAACTTTAAATAAAGACTATTACCCAAATACAATTTACGAAGAAGCTTTCACATATATATTGTGTTATTTGTCCCGAGGAAATAGAGCTTTTTCATGTAGAATTAATCAGACTAATTAGACAGTTCATTATATATGCAACTTTGTTTATAGTAGGCTATGCCACGTGTTTTTATAATTTTTAAATTAAAATTTACATTCTTAAGTTAGAATTTACAGATATCTTTTCCATAAAATTTTACAGATCATAAAAAAAAATTCCCTAAGAAATTGATTTTTTTAATGTGCTTTTTAAAAACCACATTGCTCATGTGAATTCTGGACCTACCAATTACTGAATGAGTAAACAATGAGATATTTAATTAATTTGTCTGTGCTTCAGTTTCTTTGTAAAGCACTTAGAATAGTACCTGGCACTATTTAAATTTTGTTTTTTTATTATTTCCACTTTGAAAGAAGAAAATGAAATTTATTTGTGAGTTTTCACATTAGCTGTTAATAGTTATTGTTTTAACTTCTAGGAGTTTCCCAGTAAATAAATTTTTCTCAAGGTACAATTTTGGAAACTGAGTAATTCTTTTCCATTTCTCTTTAAAAATACTCGGAGTATGTGGGAAAGCATGTCCAGTCCGTTAGAAGTATGCTATTTCATTAAATAGTTATGATGCCTTCATGGTGCTCCTAAGCGCCTTCAGTTCCTGGGCCTTCTAAGTCTAAAAAGCCAGAAAGTGAAATACAATCTGAAATGATAATGGGAATTTCAGATAATTTTTTTTATATCATTAGGAGGAATACATTTTTGAAGAATTTTCCATCTTTTACATTCAGGATTTTTGTTAATTTTTTTAATTTTTAATTTAATTTTATTTTTGTAGATATTCGGTCTCCCCATGTGGTCCAGGCTGGTCTTGAATTCCTGGGCTCAAGGAATCCTTCTGCCTTGGCTTCTCAAAGTGCTGGGGTTACAGGCACAAGCCACTGCACCCAGCCTTACGTTCAGGTTTATTTTTCAGTTCAGCTTTCCAAATCTGTTCCTTCATTTAAAAAAACTTTTTACTGCTGTGTCTATAAAAAGTACATTCATAGAAATAGGTATTGAAAAATTTCTACTCTTTTAAGGGTATTCATTTGATGGTAGTTGGTCTATTTTAAATTCTGACCAATTTGAGGGATTATGATCTTGGAGAGATTATGATTGTTATCAGTTAAGAAGATCATACTAAAATTTTGGAGGGTAAAACATTCGCCTCTGATTCTGTGTTTATCAAAGGACATTTGTGCAATTTTTTTCTTGGTAGAAAATGTGAGAATTTTCTCTTGTTTACCAAATCAATAAGCTTGATTTATTTTGTTAAAGGTAAGGCAGATTCTGGAATGGATGCTTTTGTATTACAGGAGAGAAGAATGTAGTATCTTCTCAGTTTATGTTTAAAATAATAAGACTTCTGGCATTTTGAGTTTTGATAATAATAGTCAAAGTGTCTATGGTATCTTCTGTTATTGAACCCAACATTTTATTTCATGTGATTATTCTTATAATTATTTAAAAACAATTGTGGGCTGATCATGGTGGCTCACACCTATAATCCCAGCACTTTGGGAGGCTGAGGCAGGTGGATTGCTTGAGGTCAAGAGTTCAAGACCAGCCTGGCCAACATGGCGAAACCCCATCTCTACTGAAAATGCAAAAAAAAAAAAAAAAAATTAGCCTGGCATGGTGGCAGGTGCTGGTAATCCCAGCTAGTTGGGAGGCTGAGGCAGGAGAATCACTTTAACCCGGGAGGCAGAGGTTTCAGTGAGCTGAGATCATGCCATTGCACTCCAGCCTGGGTGACAGAGTCAGACTCTATCTCAAAATAATAATAATAATAAGTGGTTAATTAAAACATAAATTATTTCTATCATTAATATATGCACGTTAGTTTTCAAACTTAATTTCAAAAGAATTATTATGTAAACAGCAACCCTGTATCCCACTGCTTTCAGATTTTTTCCTTTCCTCTAAGTAATATATCTATTTCTTAATTTACTTCAGGCATTATCTGTTGATTTCCTGTTACAACCCACCTCACTTCTTCATACTCAGTTTTTTATAGTCATAGTTTTCATTATTAAGTAGGTACCTAAAATATCACTTCCTGTAGAACCAAATAGTATCTATGATTACATTTCCTCCTTTTACAACTTTTTGTTTTTCCCAAACTGAGTAACTGCTTCACCTTCTCTTTCTCATATTTGCTAATTTCAGTGTAGAGATCCTTCATTTTTCCTTCAGGTTGTCCCATGTCTACTGGTAGTATTTTCAAATATTTACGTAAGTCAGATAGTGTATCAGTTGCCCTTTTTCCTGGAAACTTCTGTGCCAGAGACCTCTGCATTCCTGTTCCTGTGCGAGCTGGCTGCATATGGCTCCACTGCTGAGCTGTCCTGATTTGAGCCCCTGTTTCTTCCATCCCAGGTCTTCCATCTCTTGGTTAACACCCTCACTTTGCTGAAGCATGGCCTGCTGTGGTTTCTTATGAAATGATGTATAGAAGGTAGATGTCTTATGATTGTGCATTTATAAAGATATCTTTAGTCTGTTCTCAGAACTGATTGCTTTGGCTAGGGCTCGCACTTATTGTCAGAGTTTCACCCACTACTCCAGGTCAGAAGCCTAGGCCTGAGTCTTACCTCCCACTGGGGCTTTTCTCCTTCGTTTCTCTGGAAAATACATTTAGACACCTGTAATTTCTCAGGTCTACTAACAGTTACCTATCTGCTTTCTAGCTTCCGAATTTTATAGACATGTTTCTTCTTTTCTCCTTGACATTTCTTCAGTTTTCTCTGTTCTTGTGGGGCTTCCCCTTAATTTCTTTTAATATTATTTTGCAGGGATACCAGGATGGAATACAAACTGTCATTTTAAAACAAAAAGCCTTAACTAGTTTTATTTTCCCCTTGGCATAGAACGATTTGTTATTTTCGCTCACAGCCCTGCGGATTGGCAGCCTTAACTGAGCAGTTCTAACGCCAGGCCCCTCGTGGTTGCCGTGAGACAGAGGCCAGTGCTGATGTCTTGAGTGGGCTGGACATCAAATATGGCTCCTTTTCATGACTGCAGTTTGTGCCGCTTGCTGACTTGGGCACTGACATTTGGCCCCTCCATGTAGCTTGGATGGGACAGATACCCAGGATCTCAATGGGGAGCATGCCAGGAGCCAAGGGTTTCAAGAGGCCTAGTTGTTTTTTTTTTGTTTGCTTAACTAGTTTTTTTTTTTTTTTTTTTTTTTT